AGATAAACAATGGTGGGGTGAGACAAATGGGAAGCTTTGACTTCCTGCTGACATGGGGGGAAGAATTTGATTTCCTTCTCACACACTGTATGTTGTAGATGGCTTCTGTTTTTTCTTCTTGAAGCTATAAAAAGGTCAAGGTGATGGCTTCAGTAGTGTGATTGAAGTCCCACCCCCTTTTAGTATGTGTCACACATGCAAAGCATGTAAAAGAGGGGTGGGACTTTGATCCATGGTGTGGCTCCCATCTTGACTTTGGGGGGGCCCTGTGGATGCCCTTGCACCCACCCACCCAGAGGTAAGACCAGTGTTGCTGGGGAATTCTGGGAGTTGAAGTCCACACATCTTAAAGTTGCCATGGTTGAGAAACACTGTGTAAGGCCATCATTCTGCCCTTGGCAGCAGCACCTCCATCAGAGCCAAGCAGGAGAGAACTACTGCCCTTGCTTGACACCAACATCAGCTGGAGTGCATCTGTTTTGAGCCTCCTTCCATGGGGCTAAAAATAACAGAAGTCAGGTACTTCAAAGCAGCCATCTTACCCTTCTTGGGGGAGGGCTGGCCTAAGGTATGTTAACGCTATCATTCCTTCATATCTTACCCTTCTTGGGGGAGGGCTGGCCTAAGGTATGTTAACGCTATCATTCCTTCTCATATTAAAGACTGAATATGTTCTCAGAGTCAGGGAATACGGTCATTCATAGAAAATTCTCCTTCAGATCCAGGTCTATTACTGATTGATTTATTTGAATTTATTAGCCACCCAACTCCAATGGACTCTCTTCACTCTACTCCTGAAAAGGCCATGGAGGTGCCTATGTAATTATCTTCGCCACACAAAGTGTCTTTTTCCTGGACGTTTGACTTCCCAACCTTGCCTACGGCCCTTGATTTCGTAGTGGTCTCCCGTCGAAGGACCAGTCAGGCCCATGCCTGCTTGGGCTTTCCGGCTTCCTTAAGTCATCGTTAGGATGCTCCCTCCGGGCGCGTGGATTTCCCACCTGGGCAGGGTTCGCTGACGTCGCTGCGGACCAGAGGGAGCACCTTGGGCAGAGGAAAAGGCAAGCGGCGCCGGTGATTGACAAGGCGAGCGGTCACGTGCCCCTGTCACGCCACCTTCCCCCGCTGGAGCGCAGCTCTGCTCTGCTCTGCTCCGCAAGGGCGGGCGCGCGAGGATAAGAGTGCAGAGGCGCCGGAACAAAGTTCCCAGCGCAGCAGAAAGTTCGCCGAGAGAGTCAGTGCCCGGAGAGCGGGCGGATGTCTTCGCCTCGTCAGCTACCACGCCTCCCTTTCCATTTGCAGCAGAGAGGCAGTGGAGCAGCTGGGCCGAAGCTGAGGCAACTTTTCGCGGAGTCCCCCTTACCCTTCC